AGTATTTAATCAGTATTTTTTAAGTTATTGAGATTTCTTTCTCTTTTTCTTTGCCTTTCCTTTCTTTCTTGTTGATTGATTCAAATTCAATCTGCATTTTACACTTAAAGCACGTATTTTCTATGAGCCACGTTTCAACGGTTCAATAGCCACATGTGGGTATAGGCTACCATATGGGATGGCACAGTTTTACAACATAGTTAAAGCAACACTTCAAACTCAGTGCTAAGCAGTCTTCCCAAAAGACAGCACTTCTCCCATGGTTCACAGCAGAACAAACAAAATGGAGACAGACAAAAACTGGGCACTTGGTCTGCTTACTAGAGCAGCTTAGGCTGATAGCAAGGGTTCAGCTAGGTAAACATGGAACTGCACCCAGGAGTTTCGTAAATATGGTCACATTCCAGACAAGCCACTGAGACCACCAGGGATTACCACCAGAGGGACTACCAGAGGAATCGTCGGTGTGTTCCATCATGTATAGGGCAGAACAGTGAAGAATTTGTAGAACAAGAACTAGTCAACTATGTCAGGTAATCAACTTCCGTAAGAGATGGGATTTTTGTTTCTTGGGTGTGGCACTTAGACCAGAACTGACATACAATCTGATCACAACTGGTGAGGCTCAATTCCCAGAGTGGAGTTTCTAGGCTGGGCTCCGATCTCAGGCGGGGACTAGGATACCAGGAAAATTAATTCGCTAGAAACAGGAAGGCAGACTAAGGTGCAGCTCTCAGGCCACGGCAGCATTGGTACAGCTGATCTGATAGCACTGCCGATTGCGGAAAACTACTGCAGGAGTCCAGTTTTAACACCGGACTAGTACTCTGCTCTGAAGCTGTCTTTTTAACAAATTACTGTTTATTCTTGTTTTTAATCTTATTTCCTATTTCAGTTTATCCTGGAACCAGAGCTAGGCTCACCCATTATCAGGAAATTGGAGGAAGGTGGAACTAGGGAATTGACAGCATTCATCCAGCTGATGATTAGGAGCTGATTTCTTTATGGAGAAGGTGCCTCCTTTCAAGATGTGCCTCTTAATAATGTGCATCTGCTTTTCAGTGAGGTTGCATTACTATTATTATACCCTTTTAGAGGATTTTTCTATTTTTTGTTTAAAAATCAAATTCTTACTTGTTCCTTCAGTCAAGTTTTCTGTAAGACACAATTTAAAGGTAGCTAAAGTTAAGAGGGTAAGTACATAACTGTCAATTGGTATTAATAGTTTTTGTTGCATTAACAAAAATTGGATATTGGCATTTGAAATTTAAGTTTTTCTTTGCATTTTCATCTTTATTATAAGAGCTAATATGGCATAGAATTCTTTCTAGATAAATGCAGTTTTATTTTGTTGACTTTAAAATAACCTTTGATTTTAGCTAAAGAATAGCATTGTTTCTTTTTATTCTGTGGACACTTAGGAGCTGCTATTATGTTTGGATAAAGTGAACTATGTTAGCATCTGTGAATAGTTTATCTGCTCTCTAGTCAATAATTGCTCATAGGACATCCCATTCTTCTTTGAAAGTCATTACGGAGCTGATTAGAATCCAACTAAGTGTCCCTTAGTTGAGAACTGGTTAAATAAATTATAGCATTTCTGTACAATAGAATACTATAGAGCTATATAACTATTTTTAAAGGCAGCTTTATGTTAAATTAATATGGGGTGATATGGAATTCATAAAAAAGTAAGGCACAAAAGTATATATGGTATGTTACTAATTATAAAGGGAACACACATGCACAAGTATATGCTTGCATAAGCATGGAGGATCTATGGAAGGCCGTATTAGGGACTGGTAAGAACAGCTCTGTGGAGGGGAACTAAGTGGGAGTATGGGCCTAGGGAGTTGACTGTATAACCTGTGTCTTTCTAAATTTTGTACTATATACTTATGTATTTGAAAAATACATATAAAATGTAATGGAAGGAAGGAAGGAAGTAGAGGGGGAGGGAGAGAGACCCCCCCCCCCAAATTAATCTGCCTTGTTAATAGCTTTCAAGATTTTTTTTTAAATGAAGAATCTAGATCATATGGTCAAGACCTGAGAGGTAGTTAGGTAGAAAATAAGATGTCGGAGATTTTTATTAACAGATAACTACTGTATTTCATAATTTTTTTTATGTCCAGGATGGGTCATTAAGGGAAATGTAAATAGTGTCATCTTTTTACATATATTCTGAGAAAAAAATGCAAAATTAAGGAATAGCACAAAATGAAAAACTGCTTTTTCTTTTCTGTAAATTTATGTATTTAGAAAACGAACAAAAAATGGTTGTATATTCTATGCCTCTATTCTTGGACCTCAGAGCATTTCTCCTTGTGTACCTTGAGTGAAGTTCTCTTTTTCAACCATTTCAGTCTAGATCCATTTGGATATGGTTCTGTGGGTTGTTTTCTTTTTTTTTAAGTTTCTCTTTAAGTGGACTCAGCAAGAAAAATAACAGAATGGATTTTTAGGTTATTTTTACTGATAATCCAGTAGATAACAGTGTAGTTCTCTGATAGACCCAACATCAGAATTTCCCAGCATAACCCAAAGCCTGCCAAGGCATATAAATAGAATAGGCTGATGGAAACTAATCACACATACATTTTACCTTGTTTCTTATGAAAACATTTACAAGAAAATGCCTATTTTTCAAAAGAGGTAAGTGCTAAATTCAGCATGGTTGACAGCAAAAGCCCCTTTATTTAATCAAATTAAGCTCAACAATCTTTTCCCTTGTCTAATTTAAACATTACTATAGCAGACAGGTGTTCTGGGTTCTTCTTGGCCCATGGCACTGATTCTGCATACTTTTAAATTAAACAATTAAAGGAAGCTTGCCAAGAGGCTTATGCAGCAAGCACATGAAGTAAATACGTTCAGAAGACATGCCTGCTCCTTCACTTGCAGAGTGTCAAAGCCCTGGGAAACATCTGTGAAATGGGAGAAGATGAGAATATTACTTTTGGAGAAGGTAGTTTAGTAATTTTGTGCTTCTAGTCATTCTTTTAGTAGCTAATTGATAAACGTTCACCCAGATCTAATCCTGATAAGCAGGAATATTACCAGATATACAAAGAGAACATTCATCAAAATTTTTAAATCTATTAGCAAATTATGAAAAAGTTTTTTGGTTTGTTTCTAATGGGTTTAGATTTGCTAGGTGAAGTTGCAAAGATTTGTTTTAATAGGAGCCCAGATACAATGTGGGAAAAAATGTTTCCCTAAAGAAATAGGGAACACAGTTTTCCTGTAAGGACCTTTAGCCAACCAGAATGCCTGTATTTTACTTCAGTGGAGTTTAAAGCCATTTATACGTTGTTCCTGCATTTTAGTATCTTTGTATTTTTCAGTTAGAGTCAATAATTTTAAACTCATTCTTTGCTCTGCATCCATTTCAACCAAAGCAAAATGAACTTAGGTTTCTAGAACAAATCTGTATTTATTAGACTGTTTCCAGAGTGTTTCTTGGGCTATTTTTTTTTTTTTTTTTTT